GATCATATAGATGTATGTTCCTAGACGTTGCCTTTATTAAAATATATATTTTCTTTTTTGACATGCATTTGCTGAAAAATTCCATTTCTAGCATTTGTGACATAATTCCCAAATCAGCGTCATATGTTTTTTTTTTTCTTTCATTCTGAATCCAATCAATTTATTTTACGAAAAAATGTGATCTAAATATATGACTAAGACAAACAAGAAAAAAGTTTAACTTTGGATGACACGCAAAACGACTCAGCCTTTCTATTTGGCCACTAAAAGTCACAGTTTCCTTCGGTAATGCATCTCTTTGAACTTTATTCCCCACATTATTTTCTTGTTATACAATTTTTTTCGTACTTTTGCATTCTATTAAATTGACAAACTATATAATTTATAGGATGTTGATTATTTTTGACAAAAAAAATTTGTGTTTATTTTTAGTTTACATATTAAAAGTTATATTTATATGTAGAAAATAGTGTTTGATCTTTAACTAGAAAAATAGTGTTTGTTAAAAAAAACCTATAATACCAATCTCCTTTACATTGAATATTAGAACCGTGTAATTCTAAAAATAAAACCTCATGCAAAATAAAATACCAAAAAAGACTACAAAAACAACACAAAAAAAAATATTATCAAAAACAACCAGTGAAACACAAATACGCATTCAAGTCATGAAGACATTTCACTTTATATTTTAAAATTATAGAGTAAGATTGATATTCCATGAAATTCTCAATTTTGCAAGGTAAAGTGGAAGACTTGACGGTGAAAAAAAAGAAGTGAATCTTTTTCCATTTTAGTATAAATTAATTGCCCGTTTGATTTCCAATATATTCACAATGATAAGGTTTTCATTTTATTTCAGCATGTATACTTGTGCTATATAACAAATGAACCAGTTTTTGACATTATTTATGTTTTCAGTGGTTAAGTTGAAGAATTATGTACAATTCATTGGGGGTCTATCAGCCGATGAGCCGAACATAACTTGCCATGTCCTTTTATGTGAGAGTTCTTCTATTATGATTTTAAAATATAAAAGAATATTCTGCTATTCCACATATCCCAATTATCTAAAATAAAAGTTACAGAATTATATGGATTGCGTGGAACAATAATCTGTTGATTATTAGTTATTGACGTATATAATCCACTCGGATTCATTTTTTTTTTAATCCACCAAGGAGTTAGGCCATCATCCCGTTTTGCATTTGTACATATTAAGCCTAAGCGCTTACTAACTTTAATTCTATCAAATTTTAAGAAAACTTTTTTTCATATTTTTATTTGATAATTTTATAAGTCACATTTTATGTTTTTGTTTTTGGAAATTACAATAAAAATCTTATAATTCCAAAATACCACAAATGTTAGGTTAAGTACTAAATGAACTTTAGGAAGTGCGTGTAAACACTCAAGATATACATTAATCTTTATTCAAATTTTAATAACCCTTCATAAACCAAAGTTTGTTAAATACAGTAGTATTTTGAAACTAAAAAACTTGTTTAGGTTGTATAACTAAGATATTCTCAAATACACTAGTTCAGATTACAAGCCTAACTTTTCTGCTAAGTGTATTCGGTAACAGATCCGTGCGAGTCGCAGTCAAATTTCCTTGTTTTGACTTATCTAGTCTGCGCAGACTGTACTACATTATTCTTTCATCACTTGTTTCACGATGATTACCTACTCGGAGCTAGAACTCGTCAATGAGTTCATACTATATAATAAAGGAAAAATGCTAAAAAATATTTTATATATTTAATTTTTAGAAGAATTACACACGAACTTTTAGCGTTGCCATAAATCCACACAAACTATTTTTTGATGCATAAAAATGCATAAGTTTTCTAAAGTTTCATTTTTCCCACTCTAATTACACGGCCGTTAACAAACATAACAAAATCAATAAACATCGTTAATTTTTTGTACGAAAAAATCCTAAAAAATACATCAACTATTTAATTTTGCCAGAAACCCACACAAACTTTTTGCATTGCCTGAAATCCACACAGACTATTTTTTAAATCTATAAAAAACCACAAACTTTTTAAAATTCACTTTTCCCTCCTCAAGCTTCACGGTCATTATATAGACATAACAGAATCGAAAAACTGCATTAATTTTTCATAACACGTGTTAATTACTGTCAAATTAATATTATTATTACCTTTAAAAAGAAAAACCTAAACTCTAATTTTTTTCTCTCTCTATTTCAGAAATTGAGTGAAATCTGTTGAAATATGATTAATAGAGCAATAAATCATGTTTAGAACATATACATCATCTCCTCGAATTGCTCTTGTTAGTCTTATATATCACAACATACACTGTTTCTTACTCGATTTATACTACCAACCATATTTTTCAACCGATTTCACTCAATTTCTAAAAGAGAGAGAAAAATTAAGGTGTAGATTTTTATTCCCCAAATCGATTTGAAGATTTTATAAGGGTAACAATGATATCAATCCTAGAGTAGTTAGCACGTGTTACGAAAAATTAACATAACGACCGTGAAACTTGAGGAGGGAAAATGAAACTTTAAAAGTTTGGGTATTTTTATAAATTAAAAAATAGTCTGTGTGGATTTCTGGCAATGCAAATAGTTTGTGTAGATTTCCGGCAAAATTAAATAGTTAGGGTATCTTTAGTATTTTTTTTACAAAAAATTAACGCTGTTTATTGATTATGTTATGTCCGTTATCGGCCGTGATATCAGAGGGGGGAAAATAATTTTTTAAAAAACTTATGTATTTGTATGCATTGAAAAAATAATTTATGTGAGTTTCTGGCAACGCTAAAAATTTGTGTGTGATTCTTCTAAAAATTAAATAAATGAGATTTTTTTGGCATTTTTCCCTACATAATAAGGCTTGTTTAATTTAAGAATGTGCGATGAACGAAATGAGACTGAAGACCATATGTTTTTTGCATGTCCTTACTCATTCATGATATGGTCATATCTCACTAGTCATATGATTGAGTCCATACAACCCAGATTAGTTTGGCACTTCCAATCTCCAGCTTTAACGTGGTATTCATAAAACTAGCTTTCCAAAAAAAAGTTAGTTTACCACATCTAGAAAAAAATGAATGGAAGTTTATTAAAACAATTTTTTTGATAAATATAATTATTGATGTTTTATAACTGATATTAAAATTGTGCCCAATACAACCAAAATAATTTGTGTTTACTGAAAAACAGTGTTTTTTTTTTGTTGTGTGTGATTTCAGCTACTAAACTGCCGTTATATGAAAGTCTTTGTGTCACTGACTCATTGTATGTTTCGAATGTACATAATCACGTTTAACCCTAAGTTGGTCCATAACTATTTATCTTGAAAAAAGTCTCACTATGGTTCATAAATAAAATCATGATCAATTTAAATATTTGATTGATTATTTTCTGGATCCAGCTTCCGGAAGCCAGCTTGAGTTTCTTACATTTTGTCAGTGAATAATTCTGAACAAGATCAACAATTTTGATATCATTTTGATCAAGTGATTTTCTAATTTAAGCTTAAAAGTATATACTTCCAAAGAATATTGAGTTGTGATTGGACAAAGAAACAATGAGACAAAAAAAAAAGATTGAGACAAATACCAAACTACAGTTTGAAGAACAAAACACTTTTTCTTGCACTAACCTTTCAATATCGTGAAAGGACCAACTACCAAGCCAGTGAGAAGAACAGACATTTTGAGATCTCATTTCTTTTTGGGATACGCCTTATTGTCTTTGTCCAAATCGTAACTCAACATTACCTGGTTTTGGCCTTTAATTGGTTTCTCTTATTTTGTTTTATTCTTTTAACATTTTATTTCTATGTTATGCTTTACAAAAAGCGACAAATGCACTAAATATACTTAAGTTATTAATCTTAGATCTAACGTTAGAAAGACAAACGTTAATTCAAAACATAATTAAAGGGATAACGTAAAGGAAAGAAAGACAAACATAATTTTCCGAAAAAATCTGATAATTAAAGGGATATATACAATTTGTTTTTTTCGTTCTTGTACATAAGAGGAGAAAGATCATTTTGTTACTGATTTATTAGCTAAATTGTATAATAACATTTTTTGTTTTAAAAAAAAACGTAAACATAAATATTAAGAGTTTACAATTAAAGAAATCGAAATGAACCATTATAACCATTGAAGTTACCAGATGGTTATGTCGACGTTTTGATTATAATGGGAAGGGAACAAGCAGCATCAGCTAGCAATGGGAAACATGAGCCAAAGAAACAAAGGAGGAAATTATCACGAAGCAACTATGTCGAGAGTAAGATTACAGTTTAGAGTGAAAAGCCACACAGTGATACAATGTTTGGGAATTTAATTTATGCCTGAGCTCTTAAACCCGACAACACATCCACGATATAGCAGAGTTATCAACATTCAAAGACCAGAGAAACAAGAGCCTATAAGATATTTGTAATTATGAATTCATATACAATTTTAGAATTTACTTGACAGTACAAACTTATTTACTGTTACGATTAATTAAAATGGTGGTTCTTTTTTTGTTGTCGGTTATTAAAATTAAAATGGTGGTTCAAGTTGGAAAAAGAATGCTAAAAGGAAAAATATAGAGTAAGCTTGTCATTTGTCATAACCTTTTTTAGCCTAGTGGACCATGTCAACGTTTATGGTTTACGTACTTTAGTAAACCCGGATTAGAGATTAATTATTTAACTTATGGGCTTCGAATTTTGGCCTACACTAACAATCCAATTACCCTGTTTTTTTTGGGAATTTCCGAAGCCAGGTCTGCGTCGAAAAACAAAAAGATAAACTGAAAAAGGAAAAAAAAATAAAAATAAAATTTCGATATCTAAAAATTAGTTTCAGCTGAACTAAGAACTAAGAAACCTGTATTTCGTCTTTTTCTTCATGAAAATGGGAATGTGAAAGAACCACCAAAGTTGCATAAAACGTAAAGGGAAAAACCTAAGGCAAAATATTTAGCCAAAGTGTGTGTTTTTGTTGGCAAAAAGAGCAAAAAACATAATGCCACAAAAGAGAGAAGGAGACAGAGCCTGATAAGTTTGCTAACTATTCTAACCCAAAAAAGGAAAACCAAAGTTGTTCAGTTCTAAATAATACCAACAGCTTTCTTTGATGCCGCAATTCACTTCTCAAGAATCATTACCATCTACTTGTGTTGTTGCCTCTGGGAAGCCACTCTCTGAACCTGCATTAGAATCTTCTGCTTTTTTCGATGTTTCTTCTCTTCCTTGAAACAAATTCGCCAAGAACCCACCTTTTGATGAAACAGACTGATCAGGATTTGCTTCAGTAGCAATGGCTGCAGCACCCATCTTCTTGTTGCCAAGCTCTAGCTGAAGCTCCTCTGGCACATCATCAACGGGAGAAGCAGGCTTTTCCTCCAGTCCACGAGGCTCAGCTTCTGCAGGAGATTTCACATCCTCAGTTCCCGATCGCTTAGTCTCATTCTGAAAGAGTTCAAGGCTCAGCGAAGAGCTGGATCCCGTAGATTGCTTTTGATTCGTACCAGGTGCTGGAAAGAAATCAACAAAACTAGTAGAATCTTTAGCAAATGAATCTCTAGGTGAAGTAGTAGTGACTGTAAATTCTGTCTTACTTGCTCCACAAGCTTCGGATCTCAAGAGAGTGTGATCCTCTTTGGATACATCATCACTAGCAAACTGTGGCATCAGAGAGAGGGTTTGGCCTTCAGGTTCAATGAGTTTCTCTTCTGCAGAAGATCCACCAACATCTTTCATCTCAGTATCAGTAGGAAGATTCCTCTCACCAATAACCTCAGAACCAACACCCGCATCGCTCATTGGATGATTATCAGGCAGTGTAGCAGAACGGTTTTTATCAGCAATCATGTCCTCGGTTCGAGGCTCAGAACCGATGTCAACAGTATGATTCCCAGCGTTTTCCTTCCCCTGAGGTGGAGCTTGTTGGTTTAAAGAAGTCAGTAGGACATCTTCTCTTGCATACATCTTAGCTTGAGGAAACAAATCAGTAGTTGGCGTAACTGGAGTGACTTTATTTGGCAAGAAAACGACGCCTTTTAGTTGCTTCTCTGTGTCTGCGACCTTTACGTTGAGAAAATACCCTGCCTCGAAAGAACCTTCTACCACACCAGAAACAACTTGACCTATCAGATTCTCATCAGATTGGTCCAGTTGTTGCTGAGTCTGGCTTTCATCTCTGCGAGGACGACCCCTTTTACGCTTATTTTGAAATGATGAGTCCGAGCCTTGATTCTGTTGGTCCATGTTCTCTGGAAATTCCATACCTTTTCAGCTTCAAAAACTTCTTCTTGATCAACAATTGTCCTCTGGCGAAAAATTAAACAGCAACAAAGTATCTTCTTTAGTTTCATGGGTGTGCTCATAGTTTACCACTTAGAGCCAAAATTCAATCATTAACTTATCTGAATAAAGCAGCTGTTTATATGAATCTTCAGAACAATCAAGCGGAAGTAGATGACAATTCATATACCACCCAAACCAAGATCACCCTAACGAATGGAGTTTAAAGAAAAAAGAAAGAAACAAATCCTATTCAACTAAAAATGAACAATTTGATGCTCAAGATAGACTTTTAACGCTACAAAGAACTAATTTTTTACCCACATTACAAGACTACAACATTCAATTAAGGAAAAAGTTGCCATTTTTGTTCTATCATACAGTTCGCTAACTGCTGAAATATACTAATTGTTAGGGAAATTGATTTAAATCTACACAGAACACAACGCATAACATTAAGTTTCATTTCATGAAATTCAAAGATTCAAAGATCAAAACGGTTTATGGTAAAAACCTAGATTACAAGATAACCCGAGAGAAACAAATCTTCGAGAATCTCTAACACAAACAGAAGAATGACGGTAGAAACCTAGATTCCGAAATGCCAATAAAATACTTAATTAACCAAGAAACGGAAACTTTCCCGGGAAAATAAACTGGGGAAAGAAACACTCACCGCTTAGGTTCGCGAAGCCGAAAATGCTTATTTGCCGGAATCGGAGGGTTTGATTTTCCGGGGAAAATCACTGTGTCTAACGCTACGTTGAGAAAAATGAGTACAAATACACACGAGTATACGTATCTGTATACGTATTTTCGTATAACAGTATCCGTAGATTCTCCTTTCCTTTGGTTCCTCTTTCTCGTCGTTTGACCTTTCCCTCTGTTCTCTTCTTCGTATCTCTCTCCCTTGGCTTTTTTGTTTTTTGGTTTTTGGGGAATGTGAATAATTAATATTAATTTGAAATTTAGTGATATGGGCCGATAAATGGTTTTCTTATTTAAGCCCAATAAACCCTATACATCAATAAAAATCCGTTTTGAAAAGGCTTGGTGGTGTGAAATGTGAAGTAAAAACAAAATAAATCTTGTATGTTTCTAATTAAATTAGAATCAGCTGACAAAAAAAAATCAGAAGCGTGTATTCTTTTAATTTAAAGAATTTTTTAAAATATATATATATATATATATGTACAGTCAGTATTATAAAAAAAAGTACACACTCAGTATACATTAATAATACATATATATATATACAAGCAAACAATTATGTTGTCTCAACCTCTAGCTCTTACATTTTTTTTTCAGTTTTATTAATATATATTGGTGTCACATCCTTATCTATGTTTCGTTGAAGAATTGGCTTGTAGATGATGCTCGGATTACAAGAAAGTCGGAGAAAATGAGGGAAAATATGTAACTTTGTCAGGGAGAATATATGCCAAAACTAATTAATATCTTATCCACATCTCCTTGAACGATTCCCTTGGTCTACAAATTTTTGCCCAAATAATTATATATATGTGTGTATATATATGCTGAGTTCATAAATCACGTAAATTTGTGAGAACTAATATGCTTTTATGCATATATGAATATATACAGTTGCTTAATCGAATATTATGACAAGTTAACGAATTGATTCTCGCCCGAAAAAAGGCATGAATTAAGATAATGATTTTCGTTGGCTTATTAGTATTTGAATCTAATTGATATTTTCGGCCAAAATCAAGTTTGTAAATCGTGACTTGACCAGTAAGCAACATATAACCCTTACATTATTTTGTTTTTATAGAAAAGATTACACATTTCATGTTTAACAAAATAGAATCCATATTTTTTGGTTAGTAATTAACTTTTCAAGTACAATGACGTGATGAATGATGATCTAGCTAGTTCTAATGTTTTCTTGTCGGGATTTATCGGCATAATTATAACAACACATACATTTGGTTCCTTCTCAAATTGTTTTTATTTTATTTTCCTGTTGTTGTTTCTTCTGTCCAAAGATATGTTAAGTGATTGTAGACTTGTATTCTAGAGTTCAACGTCGGCCAAACTTTTATCAGATGTATTCTTGGCGACTATATATAGTTTATATTTAACTATTGGCTACGATTATTAGAGCAGTTTTTAATAATAAGATCCGATTTAAATAAGATCTTATGACTGTTTTCTTTTATTTACTACTGTATGAAAAGTCATTTACTTAATGATTCGGACGACGTATGGCTAGTGTTTGTAGATGCTACTTTCTGTCTGATTTAATTTTACAAACAAAAAAATGTTGGTATGAAACAATATTAAATGGTGTATTCTGGGACTTGATTAGCTGTGATGTTCCTTCTCATACAGTATCATCAAAATTTTATTTTTTATTTCGTTTACAACTCACACTTACAAATTCGTATGTCGTGGTATATGAAATTGAGTAATTGACAATTTTATGTCTGATAGCGTAAACTCGTACAGATTCCGGATTTGATTTCTTTTTTTCTATCAAACAACCGAGCTACCTATATATGGACCACTTTAAGTCACAGATTTTGGCTGTTATTCATATTACTATTACTATTTTTTTTAAAAAAAATATGATGGATTTGTAAAACGAAGGGACTTGCTCATCCATATTAGATTAGTCAGCCCGATTATTATTATTTAAAAAAAAAAAAAACTCACATAGTCACACAACAAAATTTGAATCCGAGTTATTTTACGGAAACAACACCAATATAAGCTCTAATCAATTTGTTTTTATTTACAATAATCCTTCATTTCATTTATAACCAATGTTTTTTGTAAATTATTTTTTCTAGTGCATCTGTATTTATATGAAAAGATCATATACTATTGTAAAATAAAATGAAAAAAATGTTTAGTGCTATCAATCAGAGTTCCACTCCGACGTATAGTGGCGGAACAAGGATTAAAGTGAAGGGGGTTCATAATATATAACCCATAATAAAAATAATTGAAAAATAACCATGTATTTGTGATTGAACTCTGGGAGGGGTGTCAAACCATGAATTATTAAACCAAATAATATATAGAATCTTTAATTACATACAGCAAAACTACTAATATACAATTTTACCATATCATATGACCCCCATAGCTTAACGTAGGTGAAGTATTAGTATTTTCGTATATTTTATTATCGTTCACATATAACATGCATGTTGGCAGAAGACTAGTATAGGGAGCACAAGTGCAACAAATACGTTACGTGCAATAATGTACATATAGTCCAATTTTGATTGAGACACGAATGCAACTTAATTGGGCATTGCACTAAGGAGGAGTTGGATAATGAAAAATAAAAACGAGTCACTATTACGATACGATTGATACCGATCAAGTCTTTAGCTTTCCATCTTATGATCGGTCAAAGGTATGATCTAATGATCTGGTACGTATTTGTCTACTCGGGTCCAATACATGCCAAATATAGTAAACTCTTTCGATATCGAACTAATTCTTCTTTCACATTCGTTACCGAGTCATCTTTCTAAATCATTCTTATATATATATATATATATATAATTACTTGTGGGTGACATCGTTTAAATTTTCACACAAGTTTTTTTACAACAGATAAAAAAACCTACAACAGTTTAAAAATTCAAAACAAATTCAAAACAGTGACCCCGAGTTTACATACAAAAAATTTGTTTATTAGCAACGTAATGGAAAATCAATGCTAAACATTTAGCAACTTTTTGTTGTTGTCCCCGAACATTCATTGTGAATGATCTTTTTGCCTATGTGATAAATCCATCGTTCATTTAGTGATGTAGATGGATTAGAGACAAATGAAAAATCTACCACATATATAATTTTTTGTTTAAATCATATATAAAATTGATCAGTCAAGAAATTAATTTCACATTTAGATGTCACTATTTTGAAGCTAATTAGCGATGTGCAACGACTAAATATTTATTTGATAAAAAAATATTTCGTATAAATGTCACTGATATAGCGGAAAGATGCAAGGCAAATAAGTTTGTTTCTTGTCTTTTTATTTTTAGCCTTAGACGACACTATGCAAGAGCTTTATATAAAAGATTGAATTATGAATTTTCTTTTACCCAATACGTACAAAGTATTGTACATGATTTCATGGTTATTTTCTGACTTGAGGTTCAGATAATCCGTGGAAAAACACTATACATGTGTTTCACGATACAACTCTACTATTATATTTGTTCCTATGTGACTATTTACTGCTATATGAATCGTTCATAAATGAAAATTTTAAGCATTAGAGGTAATCAAATTAACAAAGTAAACCCATACATACAGTACTTAAAGAAAATATACACTTATTTTCCATATATGAACATCTCGAGCGTTAAAAATTGACGACAGATACCGAAAACACTAGTATATCTCTCTCAGCAGATTGTGACAAAGGAAAAATGACCTTATATACGTTTGAAGTGTTTTTGGTCCCCCAGGAAGAAGAAGATGAAATGAGAAGAAGATGAAAAAGAAATGAAGATAGGAGATAGGAACAGTGTCACGAGGAATGCTTTGGATCTTCTCGGAACATATCTTGTCTATGTCTCCTTGTTTTGTCTCACTAGCACGTGAGATTAGAATTATATTTCTCTCATTTTAAAAAGGTTTCTTTGGTGTGTCACTGTTCAAGCGGCTAATCCTCATGAAGCTTCGGTTTTTGTTGCCTAATTTCTCTATTTGCATTTTGTCGGATATAATTCGGTATAGGGATAAAAGATCCTAGGTGATGTTCCGGACATCTTGATTTTGTATTTGTCTCCAGTATGGTGTGGTTCCAATTGATGAGAAAGATATTTTTGTTTCCCCTTGTTATCAAAATATGGTTTTCAAAACGTCACACATAGTGTTTGCAAAGAAATTAAACAATGATTCTAAATGGTATCACCATTATAGAAATTAAGCAAATTGATAGTAAGAAGTATGATTGTAAAATAGTTCTTTGATACTCGCAAATCACACTTGGAATTCATCATATAATACGTGAGCTAGCAGCACTTGGAGGATCTGACATGTTTTTTTGTTGTTGTTTCAATCTTGGTAATGCCCTATGATGTGGTATTATCAAGTGGTAATGTCTTTTATTTATTGTAATTTATAAATTTCTAACTCAAACTATATTGATAACGAATGAATATGTTAATGTCTACTTTATACTACTTTACCTCCTATCACATTTCCTATACGAGACACCCCTTCAGATAATGGTTATTCTGTCCCAAAGCAAACAAAATTCCATTCTAAAAGCATGTACATCAGTGAACCCCTAAGAGAGGGGTTCACCAGAATATAATAATATTTTTTTTTGGTTTTAGTTTTTGTTTATTTAATTCAAAAATTATAATTTTTGACCAATCAGAATGTTCCATTTCGGGATGATACCGTCTCTTCAGGTTCGTCGGGATGATACTGTCTCTTCAAGATTAAGCTCTTTTGTCTTAAAAACTGTGCCATGAACTCCTCTTGATCCCCTGATGTACATGCTCTAAAAACTGACAACATATCTATTGGCTATTGGAGTTTTGGATCAAATTTGGGTTTTGATACCATCTTAAATTTCGTTGGTTTCCAATTTAAAATCAATTGACAGTGAATATTTTGGAAACTTTAAAACTAACGACCAGTATAACTAGAGAGCTGATCCAAATGGTAGCTTTAGGAATAGGGTCATAACTCATAAGAGTAGGTAAAGATGGCTTTTTTTTTATACCGTTCCAAAATCATCATCTCGCCTTACAAGACAAACAAAATATTATTAAATGCTTTGAGGTTTTCATTATATTTTGTTGTAAGATTTGGATCTAGATGCAATGTAACCAATGGACTATCTCTGTGCATGTACCCCAAAATCTTCTTGGACCTATAAATTTGCAGAAGGAGAAAGGAAGAAAAAATGATGCCTAGGCAAATCTTTTTGCCTGTCTTTTTGGGTGAATATGTCCTTTGCCATAATAATTTCAACCATTAAAATATGTGTTTTTCAATAAATATTTTGGTTTGGAATCTATCTTGTCTCTAATGTTATAGGGTCTATTAGTTTTTATTCCCTTTAAATATGGATGGAAAAATCTTCTGCTACAAAGTTGCTGCAAAGATATGGGCAGCAATTTTGTTTTTACAAAAGTGAATTACTTTAAATCGGTCCTAAGTCTATATATATTCGAACTTAAGGCACTTTCTTACATTCCGCTTGAAAGAAACCATAGGTTTGTCCCCTTCCGGGTTATAGACTACATTTATGCAGCTTTAACTAATTAAAATGCGACAGATATATATATATATATATATATAGTGTAATTTATGGTCTCATAATTAAATGCAAATCTAACGTGATTAACACACTTACACAACAATCAATTAACCAAATGTGTAACCTTTGATCTGTATTATCAACATAATCTTGCTTAAAAAAATATCTATATAATCACCAACGATTAATAGACGAAAAAAATATATGAGGTTAAAATGATCAGTAAAAGTTTGAAACACAATCTAAATATCAAAAATAATTATTGACTAAATTGGGAAGCGGAAAATGTAAATATCTGTAAATATAAGTGAAACAATAATCAATAATTTTTTTGTAAAGGTAAAATGATGTTTATTTTTTGCGTATGATATTGTTAAGAAAATGCAATATCATACACAAAAATTGACATACTCATACACTATAGACAAAATACAATGTGTGGTCTAGTGGTTTGCTCAAATTTGAAGATAACTGACCACATAGGTTAATACTGAAGATCAAATTTTACTGTATACAAAAAATTGTTATGGTTTTTCTATTAGCCGTAAAAATATTTAGTTTTCTATAAACTTTGGGAATTAGTCTAGGTTTGCATCTTAGATTTACACATCTCGGTTACCAAAAGAAAAATACAAAACAATCCCTGATACATGTAAACCAACGATAATACGATTGAATCCCACACCCTAGGGGACTTGACCTTGACGTCTTCCTGAGTTTCGCAATATTTTGCGACTAAGTTTGATACAAGCTTCAAGTTTCGCTCAGCTTTGGAATTAGCCACCAGTTCATGATTTCCGTTATTTTTTAAATATATATAGAAGGATTAAAATCTGAAATATTATGTTATCGATTTCAAAGATTCTCACTTTATGTTTGCATATGTATATGTACTATCTGGTATATTTAAACATGTGATAGATTGTTGATTGTCCGGTATTTATACTAATCCAACAGAAAATGCTAAAGCTTCATATAAATGACAAGCACAATCATACAAAATGAAAGAATATGTAGATCACGATATCCACCTACTTATAATATCTTGTACCCAAAAAATGCTATGGAAGCTATGAATATATGAATAAATTTAGTTAAATTAATGGATCATATTCATATCGAACCAAAAATTGTCCCAACAACAACCTCTATAATCGAAAAAAAAAAGATTTTTTTTTTTTAATTTGCGATTTTGTTTTCTATGATTACCCTTTTCTGATTTCCGAGTAAACTTAGCTGATGATCAAAGTGAGCAAAATATAAGGGACGAATTCATTGAATTCGCCATGGTTTTTGTTTAAACACTTTTGGACTTATCATTAAGATTGTTTCTTTCAAACAGAAATATTTTTATTTGTGTTTTTGTACGTAAATGTATATACATATAAATATGCATTGTATATTAATTTGTAGGTCTAGTTGAAATTATTGATAATGCAATTGTGTAGAATGTAAGAAGACATATTTAGCTATGTTTATGTACATATATAAATGGGAACATATCATAAAAGAGAAATATGTCTGACGAAGCATAGATACAATCATGCAAAATCAGGTACGTGTTGTTTATACGTTTTCATCAACATTTGCTTTTGTCATTTGCAAATTGTGCTGGTTAAATAAACAAAATCAACGCAAACACTTCGCTTGTAACTTGTAAGTATGTAGAAATGTAAATAGGCATGTTTAGCTCTGTTTATGTGAGAGGGAAAAATAAAAGAAAACAAACAAATAAAACTCAGACACGAAACGTAGATAAAAAATAAGAAGGTGTTGCCTTATGCTATACGTTTTGATCCACATTTGCTTCTGTAATTTGCAAATTATGTTTCCTAAACAAGCAAAATCAAACGCAAACACTTTGCTTGTAACTTTCAACTCATTAATTGACTTTTGCTAAGTGACAAATTAAGTCCATTTAGTCGCCTTTTTATTTTTCGTTAGTGCTTCATTTAACTATGTATAAAATTTATAAGAGCTGTTGGCATGCCTACGTACATATCAATACAAAAAAATTTGCTCATATGTATTTACTTATATTTACTGATTCAGACGTATTTTGATACACATATTGACATAATTACTCTGCTGTTGAAGGGCAAAATTCTGTACTAAAGCAACAGTTTCACCTAATGAATTCTGACCCTACACTTTTCCAGAAGTCACAAAATTACCACCATTTTTTAGCTTTCTTTCATTCTCTTATACTGATTTGTTATTTGTTACTAGTATATATCATATAAGTGTCATCGTAATTTTTAACTTTTAAATTTTATCCCGGATTCTAGACTAAATTTTAGAACATAATTAGATCATTAGTCTTAACCATTAGAACCACTAGTATATGGGACTATCTTCACTTGGATATGAAATATATTGATATAGTGTTGAATATGATTTTTTTTGTGGAACTCCCTCTCTTTTATATATTTTTATTCGAATAATTTATTTGAGTTACAATTATGATAAGAAAAGGAGTTCAATCATGCATGATGACATCTCCAAATGATCTCTAAGACAAGAAAAGACAAAATTTGTACAAAAAAGTAAGAATATTCAAACACAATTGGTACCAGAAAGTAAAACATGGGTAGGCACATATAGGTTTACATATATAAAAAGAAACAGTTTAACTTACATATGTGGAGAAAAATAGCCAAGAAAATCTGAAAATATTTCTTGATTCTGCTAGCTGCCCATATAACCTATATATGTGCCCACTCATGTTAAAAAAAAAAAGGAAAAAGAAAAAAAACATTCTTGATCCACATCAGATGACACATTCACATGATATCATCACATCAATCTCTTTAATTCAAGAGAGAGAAACAAAAAAAGACACATCACAAGTAGCTCTCTCTCTCTCTCCCACTCCATGTGTAACGTGTTAATGCAATTTGCTTCTTCTCAAGTTTAATATTCTCCATCTCTACTCCTACCTGCTCCTTTTACATGGATTCTTCTCATTTCTCTGTTAAAAAATTTAACAAAAACTAATCAACACATAATCAAAATTTTTTCACAATTATAACAAGATTTTTTAAAAAAGATATCTATAACGTACCAAATGATTTCTTGCAATGAAGAACAGCCTCGTATATGGAGCTCTCGGAGTCACAAGACCTTCTCCAATCATAATCATCTGCAACACTTATTCTTGGTGACGAAGTCGTTTCATCAGAATAAACTCTTCTCCTAGACGACGTCGTTACACGGATCCTCGAGTCGATACCAATACTTCCGGATGATCCAGCGGATCTACGTCTCCTTAATCTTCTACACAATGGCGTTAAAAAATCAAGATACTTCAACAAAACCCATTTTGACACTCTCCTCAACTTTCTACATGACTTGCTCTGAACGCCACGTGTCTCCATCTTCTTCCCTGTCGTCGTATCTAACGGTTGAGATTCTTCCTTGGTAGCTGCTGACGTGGCTTTTGATCGGTAAGGCACGACGTAGCCGTCACGGAAGAGCTCGTCGGCGTGAACTAAAGAGTGATCTTCGTCGGTGAAAGAAACGAAGTTATCGAACTTGAAGCTACTCTCATGGGCTTTGTTGATGAAAAATCTTCTAGAAGGAGGCAATCTTGGATCCATCTCGATGAAGGAAGAAGAAGAAGAAGAATCTTCGTAGGTTTGATGATGATCATCAATGGAAGTTTCTAAAGAAGAAAAGTTAACTAACCAACTGTAAGAGAAGCTGTCTATAGGAACTAGTGGCATTGAAGCTTCTTGTTGATTTTCTTCCATTGCCGATTTTTGTTTTTGTTTTTTGTTTTTTTGGGGAAATGTTGTTTGAGTGTGTTCAGAGAAATTTGTTTGAGACAAAACAATGTTTGTATTGAGAACATATGTTTCAGTGTAAATATATATATAGGAAGGGACATACACACATAGGAGCAAAGATATATTATATTTTTATTTTTTATAACGGTAATATATAAATATTTATGTGGTTAGTTTGGTAAGAAACAATAGATATTAATAATTGGAAGGGAAAAGAAAAAGAAAAGAAACATAAGAGTTTGCGAGCCCATACTAACCTCTCATTATGTGCTGTTGCTTTCATTTCTTTCCTTTTTATTATTATTTTAGTTTTCTCTTATTTTTTCTCTCCATAAATAAGGTTCTTTTAATTTTTTTATTCCCTATGGCAACATATTTATCTTTTATTTATGAATCGCAAAACACTACCCATGATTATTTTAGTTTACTTAAAGTTATCCGTAAATCATATAAAAAACCATGCATGTTGACACATATCTTATGGGATTACTTGTTTTGGAAGAAAAAAAAAACTACTATGAAACACATAAAAAATAGCTGTATATATTACGTTTTAGGATGAAATTTTCAGAGCATTACGAACGAAGAGGACCACGAGTTAGAAATAAGAGAACGTAAAGAAAGAAAACTATAATAAGAAAGTCATTTTCATAGATAAGAAAAGTTTATAACCAAAAACAAAGTAATAAGAAAATGTTAAAAAAAAATAGAGAAATGGGAGAGGAGAGGAGAAAGAGAGGGGGGAGACAGAGGTCCCGGGAAGTGTCGGGGTGCGAGACGAATGTTGTCGAAAGTTTAGGGGACAAAAGCCGAAAATAGAAAATGACGTGGAGATGAATCAAAGTCTTATCTCTGGCCCATTTTGCATGGTCTTTTTATGGGTTACGTTTAAAAGACTCGGAAAATAAGGTTTTAATTAGTACTACTTGTAGTTTGAGAAGTGCATTTAATGATATGAATCTCTCAAATCTCGAAGGGAATGTTTTTTGGTCGTCTATTGATGATAACACGAGGTATAATTGATAACCTTGAGACATAAGTATCATCTAGTTTTAGAGAGGTTTATTAATTATGGTTTTACAACAAACCTGTATATATATATTTGACTTTTGTGTAAGAACTCGTAGACTAATCGAACGGTTTGGCCAACTCAATCAACTCACATAAATGGATTTTAGTTCTACGAGCTAAACAATTGCCATTTAAATTTAAAAAATCTGGAATGTAACAGAAATGTGGAAAGGAAAATGTGAATTTGGTCTTTGCTCTTTTCTCTTTTATGTGCATTTCTATAATTTTTAAATTAGTGAGATAAAAAAAAAATTTCATATTTTCAATAATAAAATTACATTCGCATAATTTCCAAGCAGTTTAATTAGTACCAAAGTTAAAATTTTATAAAATAAAACCTTAATAAATTGAAAATCTCTTAGTCATTTGATTTATAAATATCGTCAGTTAAATGAATTTTCTATATTCGACTGTAGATATAACATACCAAATTATGAACGACGTAAATTATTGTAGACAAAAATATGATCATAGATACACATAGACTCTAGTGAATGGCTAAATGCTATGGACCAAAGTTTATATTTTGTAGACTGAAAAAAAAAAAGAGACTGAAGTTTGAATCATTGCAGTCAAAGATGAACATTTAGTCCCTTTTCTGGGGTAGTGTATTATTTAGATTTCAATAAAAAATAGGGGTGGATACTTTTTGTTTATTTTTGGGTTCGGTTTGAGTTTGGTTCGGTTTGGTTAATTCGGGTTCAATAAAATTCTAACCATACTCAACTGAAATAAGTTTGGTTCGGTTTGAATTCGGTTTGGTTTAGTTCGGTTTGGTTTTAGTTCGGTTTTGTTTTAATTCAGTTTTAAAAAAATTAGTTTGAAGAAAAAAATGGTGTGTTGGTTTAGGTGAAATTTTACATTTCACCATATTTCAAAAAACTAATATTAAGAACTAACTAAAAAGTTAAATAAAATAAGAATATTAGTTTTTTTGATTTGGTTCGGTTTAAAACCAAACCGAACCGAACTGTTCGAGTTGTGAAAAACTTCAACCAAACAAGTTATATATTAAAAATAAATCGGTTCAGTTTGGTTTAAGTTCGATTGGTTTGGTTGGTTCAGTTCGGTTCGGTTTTTTTGCCGACCCCTACAATAAAAAGTTTTCTATTCGTATATCTAGTAAAATGAATCTTTTCCTTTTTATTCACACGCCATATGAAAAGCAACACTGATCAAAGCAGTTAATGTACAGTTTTTTTTTTATAATTGTGGAGAGAAAAACTTTTTTAAAAATTCCACCAAAAAGGGGGTTAATAACTTAACCAATATCAAATATGAATCATGAATGGCTAGTTGCATTTGTACAAGTCAAATTGGGAGACTCAAACCAAAGTAAAGTTTGATATGCTTCTACCGATTGAACCAACGCGACTGGATACAAATTTACCAAATTTAAATCCACTCAGCAAAAATATTCAAAACAAAAGAGAAAATAAGATTATGCTTCTGAGAAAAAGAAGAAACTTAGCTATAGAAAGAAAACTCGCTACCGATTTATAGTTTGTAGAAGTCAGAACATGAGCAAGAAGAAGTCAAAACATGAGCAAGAAGAAGTCAAATTAACATTGAACACATAAAATTTCTTCCAAAAGAATAAATTACATTGCCTTGGTTCACAAAACTGGTTTCTTTATGTGACTTGGATGTGGAGGCCTTCAACATCGTTGAGTACATCTCCTTGCTTTTTCTTCAATAGAAGGATTGTGGCTTGGTTGTCTTCTCAAGAGTCTCCAGAGTTCAAATCCGTGAATCAAGATGTCTTCTGCTAGATTTTGGTTCCACGAGTTCATTTGTTTCGAGCTTTGTGTAATTCTAAATTTCAGCTATCAATAAAATCTTCCAGTGTTGAAAAAAGGGAATTAATTACATTGCCTTGGACTAGAAGTGTCAAAATGGTTAAACCAACACAAACCAGTCCATACCTAAATGAGTATCATTCAATATATAATGTTAAACTCTACGAATACAATTATGTTAAACCTTGATCAGCATGGGTGACCAAGGTTTGAATAAAATAGAAATACTTGGAAGAAGCTGTGCGTAGTAACTTCATTAGGTCATCGACGAGTGACAAGTTCTTATCTTGCGGTGAGAATGAGGGAATCAAAGACGTTAACTGGCATTAGTCTACACATTCTATCACATATATTATAATCTAAACTATGTATTCTACAGAAGGAAAAGACTTTGTTATTGAAACTTGCTTTTTCAGGTTCTGTTGAAAGGCCATTGCTCGTATGAACTAAAGGTGATGAAGAGTTTTCTTCAATCAGGCTTTAATCTTCTATGAAACAGGCTTCTTGCTACAACCTCTTACTTGCTGGTTTTTCCACCATTGATCTTCAAACAACTGAAGATGGTTGAAACAGTTGAAGTCTCAGTTCTCAGAGAGGAGATTTCAAGTCTTTTTGCCTTTGAACTTCAACAATCTCTCAAATCCAGTTATGTATACTTTCAATATAAGGATGAGTTGTACTTGTTGAGGAGCAAATGCAAGCTTTCAGAAGTACAATATATAACATCTTTGAGTAGGTGCAAAAGCTAGGAAGCCAAAGGTGGGAAAAGCCAGTCTCTTTTCGTGAAGATCATGGATGAAAAATTTATTATGAAAGAGATCAGCATGGGTGAGTACGAGTCTTTTACTATTTTTGGTCTAAATTACTTCAAGTACTTATCTAAAGCAATTGATTCCAACACCAAGACCTATCTTGCCAAGATATTTGGCATGTATGAGGAATTTTTTAATATTTGTTTCCTGGAAAATACTACTCTTACAGTTAGGCTTTGGTTGTTGCCAAAATACACAAGAGGCTACTTGCTATCATCATCGGGAGTGATCTCCTCACACAAAACTGATGTGCAATAACAGAGCACTTGAGAATCTGTATAGACGATGTTATGTAATTTCATGGACGAAGATAACCATATAGGGTATATAATCTATGGGTATAGATTGCTCTACGAGTAATAGATTAGCTCCAAAATTCTTTCTGTAGAATTGATCCATAAGACACATATTATAAGCCATAAAAAAAATATCCAATGAAAAAATTCCAAACTCATTTGAACTTGAGGTCTTTGTGTAAATTCTCCGGAGTTACAGTTAATTATTAGGAAAATTGATTAAAAGTCCACTGATCTCAAAGCGCAACATATAAACAAAGTTTTAAATTTAAGGTTTCATAGTTTAGAAAAATGAAAAAAAAAAAAAGGTTTTAGGATCTTCTAAGACGGATCTTTGGCCGCCATGTTAGATTAGAAAGATTCCAAAATGTCAAATCCATAAAGCAAAGAAAACAACTGAGTCCAAACCGCTTGAACATTAAAACTTGATAATAAAATACATCATCTTATATTACTAAACAATTTCTCATAACTCTAAACCCGTAGTACTTCAATAAACTCAATTATTTTTCTTGAAGTTTACAACTTATCATTAGTAATAAAAATACATAAAACCTAAAAATCTATCTTTATGAAACAAAATATTCTTTTATCAATGCTTTAAAATTCTTTCCAATTCTCCCAAAAATTATTCTCTTAGAAACAGAGAGAGTAACATTTGTTTGTAATATCTTATTTTGTTAAATTATTTTTCGTAAAATGCTTTCCAAATGATAGTATAGAGATTCCCAAAGTATTCTCGGATATGTTAGTGAATATAGAATTATCATGTAATTTACTTCTAAATGTGATTGGTTAGTAATATAGAATATCCACTTATTTTCTACATTCCGAAAATGTAGTAGCAATTAAATTGAAAATGTTTGTTTTTTCAAGTGAAAAGTTATATCATAATTACTAATATTAATCGTAATATTAATTCTTATATGATTTATAACCCTTTGTGGAATATTAGTTCTAAAATTTTAAATTCTATTTTCTAAATTATATCTATTTGATTAACAGATTAAATCTAAACTCAGAAAATAAGTGATAAAATGTTATTCAGATTGTAGAAATTCCTAACTGAATGTTTGACCACAAGGTCCACCGTCCACAAACATGAGAAAATTTCTAATAGCTCAAAGCGTCACGATGGAAGATTGGTATCAGCCACGAGTTATTCGAAATGGTTACATAAGCTTTCTGTCTATATTTGGGTTGCTTTTGTCAAACTTTAGCAACAACCAGTTTAAATGATGCTGTTGCTTGCAAATGCAGAAAAAAATGTAGAAACCTTAAAATCAACTTCATCTGTTGCAGTTTGATCATCGACCACATCAATTGATTTGGGACTGTGCATTTGTGGAGTTTCCTCGGAAACAAATTGATATCTTGCATGTACTTTTGGTATCCCCTGGATTATTGGGAGGCACATCCATTAGTATATCCTCAGTAAAAATCTGTTGAACTAACCATCAGAATGCTTTTCGCGGTGCTAGCTTCGTTTGATGTACTTATATGATTTTCAGACAGTTCATGCACAATGGTCTCCTTATTTCCAATGGTTTTTTTTCTTTCTTGCCTTTCTTGATTTTCATGAAACGGACATTTGGTTGAAATTTTGTATAAATAACCTTTTGTATATCATCTAATCTGAGTTTCATATCCAAGCAGTTCACGCCCTTGAAAATTTTCCATAAGGCCTACTATTATATATGGATTGCTTTCCACCAGATCTCCAAGCTCACTGGCAAAAAAACAAAAAGTAATTTCAAGCAAGTTAAACTTACAAGTTTTGGTATCCTCTGGTTAATTCAGCAAGTTAAAAAGTAATTGCCAGCCACCATCATAAAAGAAGAAAAAAAAAACATCAAAATGAGTTTTTCAGTAAAACATTTTAACAAGTCAAACATGAACATATGCATACTGTCACGATTTTGTATATGTTCCAAGTTTCACTAATTATATACATCACACTACAAGAGTTGTAAAATCATTTATTTCAAATATTGCATGCCCTCTAATATTCTGGTATAAGAAGGAACCGAAACAGAGGTCAACCTTTCATGAAAAGTAGATATACATGACATTTGAGACAAAATGAAATTCCTGATAGACATCAAACTTGTTCGTTTAGAGTGCGAGGCTGAAAAGCCATAAGTGGAGAAAAAGTTGGCTAAAAAGCCATGTCCACAAAAACAATTTTATTTTCGAATTAAATTTATTAACAAAAATCTGGTTAATTATACTCTTATCCTTATATGTCTTAAAAATCACGAAAATACCTGGGTTAAACCTACCCATTTTATGCTCGACCCGAATACCCGGGTAAAATAAAATTTATTAAAAAAAAAAACTTTATTTAATTTGAAATAAAAAATCAGGAAATTGAAATTGGTAAACCGAAAATTGGGTTAAGAAAACCGAACCAAACAAATTTAATTTTGAAAACCAAACATAACCTTAAAAACGAAAATCAAATTTTGTTCTCCTCTTTCTCTCATCATCTTCCCCGAACTATCTCCACTTCCTTCTCTCTTCCGATAATTCTCTAACTTCCCCCTTGAAACGACACTTGCTCGATTTTGTAACTGCTCCTTCTTCAACTTCCCTTTCTTCAATTCCCGTACTATATATTACATAATTTAGCCTTCTAACTCCATCAAGACAAACCCTAAATCCTGCCTAACTCGATGGCTAAAATTCAACTTAAGGGTGTGGACTATGATTCGAACGAATCTGTACCCAAGCGCAGCGAAGAAGCAAATATGGAAGATAAAGAACCTGGAATAACACCAAACCCTCCGGCGAATGATGAAGAAACAACCCATGAAGAAACTTGGGGTGAAGAAGAATCATTGACGGAAGCAGAACCAGCCGGTACGAAAACCACCAAAGAAGCCCCAGAAACCGCACCAACACCCATGGAGGAAAGTGCGACGGATCAACCAGAGGAGCGGTTGGAATCTCGCGAAGAACCTGAAAAGTGGGTTCAGCGGATACAATAGCCGAGGAAGAGTGTGTGGTAGAATCCCAGAAAGAAGGCGAGGGAGATGTATCTGAGGATGAGGCTTCAAGAAGAGAAGGCGAGGAAGAGAAATCAGAGAAAGAAGCCGAGGAAGAGGAATCAGAGAAAGAAGCCGAGGAAGAGGAATCAGAGAAAAAAGCCGAGGAAGAGGAATCCGAGAAAGAAACAGGAGAAGAGGAAGTCGAGGATGAGCAATCCAAGAAAGATAGTGGAGAAGAGGAGTCCGAGAAAGAAGTAGACGAAGAGGGAGGGGGGACACCCGAGAAAGACGACGAGGGAGAAGGAGAGGAAGGACATGAAGAGGAAGGAAATGAAGAGGAAGAAAATGCAGCGGAAGAAGATGATGGCGAAGAGGCAGATGAAGATTTAGAGGTAAGTATACTCTAAACGAAATAATGTTTGGTCATTGGACAACTAGGACAACTAGGATAACTATTTGAATGAAATTATGTTGGGTATTTGGACAACTAGAACAACTAGGATAACTATGTGTGATTCAAAATTACGTTTGGCATTTGGACAACTGGGACAACTGGGATAACTGTGACTGATGAAATAACGTTTGGCATTTGGACAACTAGGACAACTAGGACAACTAACTATTTGCACGAAATTACGTTTGGCATTCGGACAACTAGGACAACTAGGACAACTATTTGCACAAAATTACGTTTGGCATTTGGACAACTGGGATAACTGGGACAACTAAATCTCATGATTGTGTTTCTTTTTTTTTTCTCAGGATGCCGATGATGGTAGTCAACCGATGGTGCCTGAGAAGCATCCTCCTCAAAGACCGTTAGAGGTCGAGGTGGAACTAAGAGGCCCAGGAAGAATTCACAGTACAAGAAGTCGCCTTATACTTCTGCGAGAAAAGCCAAGAAAGCCAAGAAGTAGAATGTTTTATGTTTAAGATTATGTGTTTTTCTTTGTGGTACAATCTGTTTAGGGTTTAGGACAACTGGTACAATTTCCTTGTTTTATTTAGGACAACTGGTGTAATTTCCTTGTTTTATTTAGGACAACTCGTACAACTATATGCGATATATTAGGACAACTGGTACAATTTCCTTGTTTTATTTAGGACAACTCGTACAACTCACTGCGATATATTAGGACAACTGGTACAACTACGTAGTTTTATTTAGGAGAAATAGTTCAAAATAAATCCCACACGTGCAGCGGCAAAACTTATAATTTTATCCTCAGCCGCCATTCTCACACATGCATTTTATGTTGACATCATAGTTGTACCTAGTTGTCCGGTTGTCCCAAAATTGTCATAGTTGTCCTTTGGACGATTTTTAAGTTTTTTCAGTTGTCCTTTAACAAGAACATTCTTTTTTTAGTTGTCCCCTTAACCCTTGAACATTTTATACATGCCCCAAGGGTTTCGCGCCCTTACTTTTGTATTTCCCATATTTTTACGTGTAACCTCTTATAAGATGGAAACCATTGTCAAAAAATATCTTATACCATAAGGGTTATTTCATTAGAAACACAAATGGTATATCTTATTTTCAGAAAATAATGGGTTTTTTTTTAGTGTTTAGTGGTAGTCGTTGAGTACACAGTAGTTAAGGGTTTATGGCTGTATTTGTTTAGTGTTTAATAATTTAAAGAAATTAGTTTGTCCTGGCTATCATAGTTGTCCTAATTGTTCTAGTTGTCCAAATTGGAAAAGTTGTCCTAGTTGTTCTAGTTGTCCAAATTGTCATAGTTGTCCTTGTTTCCCACAGTTATCCCAATTGTACCAATTGTCCACTTTATACTATTTTGCCTTCTGTTGTCCTAGTTGCACATAATTGTCCTAGTTGCACCTACTTGTGCTATTTGTCATAGTTGCCCTAGTTGTCCTACTTGTTTGTAGTTTGTCTGGGTTTGGACGTAGTTGCACCTAATTGCACCTAGTTGTCCTGTTGACATTCTCGAAATCCAAGTCCAAGAAATTCAAAATACAAATTACTCCAAATTACATAGTATTGCAAGAAATCCAAGATAATGAAAATATTCCTTAGACCTAGCTCTCACCGCCCTGACCGCTCTGACCCTCTTCACCCTGGCTTTCCCTTGGGTTTAGTGGTTGAAACCAACGGCCAATGTTTATGTTTGGGTTGGCCTTCTGACTCCTGCGAGCTTCTCCGGTGGAAGGAAACCGCTTCTCCTTCTTTCTTCCTGCTTTTTTGGTATAGTCTGGTGGGTAAACAACTAAATTAGCTACCTCCTCCGGAATAATACAGATAAGAATGCAATCTTTGAAAGCTCTCTTCCGGACTACCCCTCACTTGACTAATCGCCAGTTTTTTTCCTCTCAAGGCAGTAGAGTAGGACACATTCACATGAACTTCATTTTGAACAACCATCGCATAGGTTATCTCGTCGAAAGATGTTTTAAATGATATAGCATAGATGGAACTCCTTGAAATCCATTTAAACTCTTCTCCTTCCTTAAAATAACATCCCAAAATGTATGTTTGTGTGGCCGCTCATCCTCTTCTGTTCATAAATACAAAAAAAAATAGGCATTTACGATTTACAGAAAATTAATATTTACTCACAGTTATACCAATTGTACCAGTTGTCCCACATATCTCTTTAAGTTATCCCAATTGTACCAGTTGTCCCAATACATTCCGGGTCCCAATTGTCCCAGTTGTCCCATTTATTTCAGTTAACCCAATTCAACTCAGTTATCCCAATTGTACCAGTTGTCCCATTTATTTCAGTTAACCCAATTCAACTCAGTTATCCCAATTGTACTAGTTGTCCCATTCCATTCAGTTAACCCAACTGTACCACTTGTCCTGTTCCATTCAGTTACCCGAATTGTACCGGTTTTCCCATTACATTCAGTTGCCCCAATTGTACCAGTTGTCCCTTTCCATTCAGTTAACCCAATTGTACCAGTTGTCCATTTCCATTCACTTAACATAGTTGTACCAGTTGTCCCATATCTCACTGATTCACTATACAAACCTACGATTCAGCTCGATTCAACGGCAACAAGTTATATTTTAACATTCAGAAGACTAAATCGACATATATACGCCACTCTACTATCCAATGTGCAACCTAAAACGACCGGAATTGACAAATCGATAACTAAACCCTAATCCCCAAATTGTAGAAGAAGTTTACCTAATTACGAAATGACTTCAGAGAAACGAGATTTGAAGAACAAAACGGGTTCAGGGAAGGCCGGCGCACCGCGCCGAGCGCTAATAAACAAAAACGGATTCGAGATTGAGTCGAGCAGATCGGATGATTTCTGGGGAGAATTTCGATTTCGGGTTTGATAAACGGTTCACAAGCATTCGGGTTTCTGAAACCAGATCGGTTTTGGTTTTACAATATCCATTTTCTCAATTTTTCGATTTTCAATAACAAACAAAAAAAATAATCAAGAATGCCATCTCCCCTTTTCATTAAGGGTATTTTCGGAATAACACATGCCTTATGGCACACAGACTCAAAGATGGCAGGGTAGATTTCTTTTTTCTCATTTATGGCTTTTCAGCCATTAAACCGTTCGTTTATGCCGAACAATAACAACAAGAAGAGTATTATAAACAGTTTCCATAATAATAAACTACAATAATATGAAATCTAAATTAAACTGCAAAACTACTATTGTGTACAGTTTAAGGTAATTAAAAGGAAAGAAACTGAAGCTTGCATAATTCCGAGTCATATGGTTCTTTTTCTGGTTTGGAAATAATCTGATGTATTCTTTGAGCTGATCTTCTGAACTTATTTCTGGAGAATGGAAATTGTGTTATGTGCCTTTTCCTTTGCTCGATTTAGAAGGCGGTGAAGATGCAAACGAGGCTGGAGCAGTACATGTAGCTGTCCGACTAGCTCTGGAACTGACACGGGAAGACTTTCGAAGCAATCTACACACGTGGAGGTGAGCTGGAAGCTGAGCTGGAGCTACAGGACGTGCTGGACACTTCAAGAGACGAGAAGCTGACGTGGATAGGAAGCTTGGAGTATCTTGGAGGATCTTTGAGGAAAATATCAAGTTTCCTCTATCTTAGGAGAAGATAAGGAAGGTGAAGATTCTCATGAAGATTTGGATAAATCGTAAAGAGAGTCTGGGCTAGGAGTAGCCGCAAGTTCTATTGTGTATAAATAGGCGTGTGAAAAACCTTGTAGGGTTTTTAACACAACTGAGAGAGTTCTTAGCAAATGGTGAGCGAAAATTTGTGAGAGTTTTTGTGAGCTAGTGTGCTAAGGGATTTGGGTGAGAGGTTCTTGAATCACGTATCGATTCAAGAACAGGTGAGGCTAGTGTAGCAAATCAAGGTGTGTCTTGAGGTTGCTCAAAATCGGGTTCTGTATACTTGTAAGTTACAAACAGATTTACTAGTGAAATATTCTTGAAGAGAAAATCCATGTGTTGTGTTCTGTTCTAGTTCCCGTATTACTACTCTTACATTTTCATTTGGTATCAGAGCGGTCATCTGTGTGTATTACAAACAGGTGAGATCCTGCGAAGAAAATGGAGAGCTATAAGGAAATGGTGAACAACTCCAGGATCATCCTGGATGCTGGGAACTATGAGTTTTGGAAAACTAGGATCAGATCCATGATCAAAGGGATTGATCCACTGGCATGGAAGGCAGTAACTGATAAATGGGAAGAACCACTGGTAGCTGATGCCAACGGAGTCTTTCATCCAAAACCAAAAGAAAGTTGGACTGAAGAGGAGTCAAAAAGAGCAAAGTACAATTCAAAGGCGCTGACTACCATTCACACCAACATATCAAGAAAGACATTTGAGCTGATTCAAGGTGTTGAGACTGCCAAAGAAGCATGAGACATACTTCAGATGCAGTTTGAAGGAACAACAAAGGTCCAAAACTCCAGAAAGGACATGCTTGCTTCTCGCTTTGAGAATCTAAAAATGGAGGAGGATGAAACCATTTCTGACTTCAGTTCAAAACTAAGTGCTCTGGCACAAGAAGCAGCTGTGTTAGGCAAGAGATACAAAGATAAGGAGCTGGTGAAGAAATTCTTGAGGTGTCTGCCATCGAGGTTTATGGGGTACAAATCTGCACTCAGTGTGTTCAGCAACACAGAGAACATGCCATTCAGTGAACTTGTGGACATGCTGCAAGCTCATGAGATGGAGCTAGACATTCTGAAGAAACCTAAAAGTCTAGCTCTAAAATGTGAAAACCGCACCACTGAAGATGAGGAAGACGATCCCATAAGTTTTCTGGTTCGAAGATTTGATCGTGCTTTGCGGAAAACTGGGAAATCTCAGAAAAAGGCTGCCTCCTTCAAGAAGACAACTGAGGGGGACAAGCCAAACAGGAAGAGTGAGGTGCAGTGTCACGAGTGCAAGGGATATGGACATTTCAAGAATGACTGTCCTACTATCAAGCGACGGGAGATTCAGTGCTATGGCTGCAAAGAATTTGGACACACTCAGCTGGAATGTGTCAATGATCAAAATCGCAGGAAGGACAAGTCCATGTTGGCTGAGGAAGAATCGGATGATGACTCTGTGGATGACTCAGTTGAAGAGACAAACAACTTTGTGACGTTTATCGGGATCACTGAAATTGAGGAGTCAGAGTCAGAGCCTGAAGAAGAAAAGGAGGATGATCTCATAAGCAGCTACGAGGAAGTGCGTCATGTCCTGGTTAGCCTCAACAAAGAAAACAGTGAATTGAAGAAAGAAAACCAGAGACTGTCCGTACTAGCAGACAAGCTCAGCAAAGATCTCGAAGCAGCAAATGCACTTGGCCAGGGAAGTGTCAACTTGATCAAGGAGAAGTTGGAATTAGCCAACAAAGCTGAAAGTCTGAGGCAGCATCTAAAGATTGAAAAGCAAATATCGGAGAAGCTGGAGTCAGAACTAGATCAGCTAAAGAAGTAGATTCAGATGTTCATATGGACCAATCA